GTTGATCTGAAGTTAGGTTGAGACTGCAAATCCAATATGGATGCGGCCATCGATTGGACTCATTTACTGCCTATGTAACAGACGGGTCAGGGTTCGTCCAGTAATATTTACAGTCTAGGGGCTATATGTAACTTTCAAAAATACTGCGTTTGTAGCGATACCGCATGGCCGTTAGGTGAACTGCACAAGTAACCTGTTGCTCGCTCTCCCTCGCGTGCTCGTAATACGTGGTCGTACGTATACAAACAAGCATCATCAAAATGTATACAAGCAACACAGATAGACAGTGAATATCTACTTTTTCACATCAGTTAACCGTTTGCTTAATAATGGGCGATAAAAAATGATATATACATGTAAAAAGTTACATATAGAACCTTTAATGTTTCACTAAAGTTTAATAGCTCTGTGATTGTTTCACATTTACAAGGGTCACAAAGAGCAATCATAAATGGTTGAATATGGTTAAGTAATGCTTATTTAGAGCATCAATAAATGGTTAATTATGTTTAAGTAATGCTTATTCAGAGCATTAATAAATGGTTAATTATGGTTAAGAAATGCTTATTTAGAGCTTAATCATGGTTAAGTAATGTGTATTTGGAGCATTAATAAATGGTTAATTATGGTTAAGATATAAGCTGGGTGCGAAGGCTCTGTGTACGGATTTCACGCCTTCAATTTATTAAATATAGTTATTCATTATTAATAATATTAGTAAGTAAATAACTAATTTGAGACTGATTTGAGTGATATTTTGGTTATATTTACCTGATTACAGGTTGGTGCCCCAAAACGAGATTAAACATAGTTTAATGATATTTTATTTATATTATTAATAATTAAGTATAATTATTAAAGAATATAACCAAAGTTGACTTGATACAACCCCAACATGTGATTCGGTGAGATACGATTATCTGCCCTTCTGAGCTGCTGAAGCAGAATTAGACTAAACATTTGTGTGAAGGCTTGAACAATATTTGCATTGAAACCCTGTGAGCTTTGTGTTTTTAAAGGAGGTCATCAAAGACATAAGAGTCCAATCCTCTCTCAGATATGAAACTCTATTTTTTTAAAGTGTTCACATCTGATGATCATCACTCGGTCAGCTGGTCTGACTCGTCTTCAGTGTGTGTGTGTGTGTGGGGGTGTGTCCAAACATGCACAACCTGATAGTCATCACAAACACTTTTCTCTTCCTGTAGAGTCTGGGTGTTGGTCTTGTTCTGGGTGTTGGTCTCGTGAATCTGTCTGGGTGACTAGAATAAGACTGTTGTTGACCCGTGTTTGTTACTTTTCTGTTCCCATCAGATAATAACAGCTGTGTGTTTGCTGTGTTTGGATCCAGTGTGATGTCACATGAATAGTGTAAGAAGTCAGCTCTGGTCTTGGGCTCTGGTTGTGACAGTAAAACATCCACTTCAGTCACTCTCTGTGAGATGTTTGTCCATTTCTCTCTCAAGACGTCCTCTAGTTTATCTCTGACTTCGGACACAGCTGCTGTCACATCCTCAAAGTACCTCAGAGGACGGATATTGATGCTGGATGAGTGTGTAGATTCACAGAGTGGTGACAGTGAGGGGTAGTCGTGTAGAAACTGGTTGTGGTCCTGTGTGTGTGAGAGCTTCTCCAGTTCAGCGTCTCTCCTCTTCAGCTCAGTGATCTCCTGCTCCAGCTTCTCCTGAAGCTCTCTGACTCGACTCACTTTAGTTTGCTGCTGGGATCTGACCTGCTGCTTCACATCAGAGCGTCTTTTCTCCATGAGACGGATCATCTCTGTGAAGATCTTCTCACTGCCCTCCACTGCTTTATCAGCGGAGCCATTGATATCCTCCACCTCCTGTTGAAGCAGCTTCACATCTTTCTCTCTGTCCTGGATTCTCTGCTGGATGTTTTGTCGACTCACCTCCAGCTCTCTCTGCTTCTCGTCCTCTCTGCTGCAGCTGGACTGTGTCGTGGCCTTTATGTTCATCCACAGAGCAGAGATAACAGATAGACTGCTGATCAGTACGACAGAAATCTTCATCACCTCATCATGATGAGAGCAGACGTTCTCCTGGAGCTTCTTGGAGGGCTCCACCAGCTTGTGTTTTTCAAAGGCAGGTGAATCATAATGAGGCTGAAGGTGTTTTTTGCAATAAGAAATCAGACATTGTAGACAGGACTTACAGGCTTTCAGTTTCAGGTCCAGCATAGCAGTGATCAGCAGGAGCAGCTCGGAGTCCAGTCTTCTTCAGCTCCTCCACTAAAACTGCTAACATGGTGTTTTTCACCAGGACAGGCCTCACTGGAAGGTCTGCCTACACTGAGGGCAGCTGTAGATTTTCTTCTCCTCCTCTTTATCCCAGTGGGTTTTAATACAGTTCATACAGTAGCTATGTCCACAGGGAATAGTCACCGGATCCTTCAGTAGATCCAGACAGATCGAACAAGAGAAGGTTTCCCGGTCCAGCTGAACTCCTTTCTGCGCCATTTCTCCTCTCAGTGATGACTGCCTGAGAAACTATTTTCACCTGAATGTGAGCTCGTGTTGGTTACACGCATCTGTAAACTGTAGATCTAAAGGGGAGGGAACCAGGAAATACTGGGTCAGAGTGGAGCTGGCTGTGTTTGAGAGCAGGCAGGAGAGGGGGGTTATCAAGCTCTGGTTTATTCCAGGAAGAGGAGCAGCACTGTTAATTTTAAATTTCAAGACGGGTACCCGGCTGCCACAAAATTGGTCCTTTTTCTGATCCTGTTTGGACTCTCATTCCTGCAGTCTTCCCTGACCCCGGCTGGCGCCCGTTAGCTTGTGGCTTTCAGCCTGCAACTAGCCGCTGCTCTTCCTGCTGTGGACATGGTACTCCTAACATACTCCGCTCTGCAACTCCAGAATGTCATCTGCCACTTCTCTCCGGACGACCTTAAATCCTTCGGACTCCTGCGCCGTCCTCGCTACGTGCATAGGGCTGCCCGATGCAAATTTGTTTACACCGACTATGCTATCCCCACTGTAGTGTCTGACCGGCTGCACTACGACGTCATCACAACAAATCACACGTGCACACCAGAAACCTGATACCTGTTGTTGTGTGTGTTGACAGAACCACTCCTCTCTCACCCTCTGCTTCAGAATCCACCACCGCCTCATTTATGCTGCAGAATTACGCTGTTATAATCCCTGCGTCAGGGTGGGAGCTTTCATATTTATGAATAATATCCACCAGCTCGTTAAGTGCGGTCAAGGCGTCAGCCCGAGGATGAATGTAAAACAACCAGTCTAAAAAAAGGGGCGACATTTAATGACCAGGCATTTGAGGTTTGTACAGGTTTTCGTCATAATAGCAGAGTCTGTACACCAACTTTCATTGATGAGGAGACACACACCTCCGCCTTTACTTTTGCCGGTGAGATTTCTCTGGCAGTCCAATCGGAAAGAGGACTCGGCTTTCCTACCGCGGGGTGTCGCTGTTGAGTCACGTCTCCGTGAGGCAGCAGACAGAGCAGTCTCGGGCCTCTCTCTGGGACTGGACCCGGCCCAGTAGGTCGTCGGTTTTGTACGGCAGGGATTGCACATTTGCCAGGTAGATAGATGGCAGCAGGATACTGAAACGGCGATGTCGTAGTTTAACGGTTAAAAGAGGAAACCATGATCAGTTCACCAGTTGCTTGGCCCCTCCACTGATTTACAATGATTTTCCAATCATGGCTTAGAAATATAAATTGTATTAAACATGTAGTCTATGTGATGTCACCCACTGGTTTCTAAGTAAAGGTTTGATGCCCATTGATGGCAGTCACCATTTGGAAATGCTGTCTATAGTAGCTGTCGCGCTACTATCCAATGCAGTATGCTGCATGTACTGCTTACTGGGATCAACAATAGTATGTAGGACTGCCACTCGTTGGTTATTTTGCAGTATGCCAGAAAAGTTTCTGGTCTTTGAAGGAGCATGTAAAGGACTTCTGACAAAGCAAACACTGTTACAGTGTAGCAATTGGAGGTATCTTTGTGTGGTTTGGTCTGATTGAGATTATTTCCCATGTTACAATGGCCGTTGCTGTCCATCATTTCGATCTCTGACCTGGTGCTTTGCATTGTGGGAAACAGTATAAGAGGGAGACTGGTCTGATGCATACTGTGGTTTCTTCCAAATCATTAAATGGTAAATGGACTTGAGATTATATAGCACTTTTCTAGTCTTCCAACTACTTGAAGTGCTTTTACACTGCATGTCACAACTACCCATTCACACACTGATGGTAGTGGTTGCTATGTAGTATCATCCATCAGAAGTAACTAATCCCATTCATACACTGCCACTGAAGCAGCGGGAGCAACTCAGGGTTAGTTGTCTTGCCCAAGGACACATTGGACATGTTGCCCAGCTGGGGATTGAACCCTTGAACCTTCTGGTAGAGAGGCGACGACTCTACCAACTGAGCCACAGCTGCCCCCAGTACAGACCTGGATGTATTTGGATGTATTTGGATGTATTTGGCATATTGTTGATATTTTTGTATACTGCATTCTGGTCAAATTATCATGGCCTCGAGTCTATTGACATTTCAAAAAGTTCACCTTAACATTTACTTCAGATAATAATTAACAGAACTAACTTCTATCAAAGTTAACGTCTTTGATGGATTAATGGATAAGGAAGTTCATTTTTTGTATTAACTGTGCCCACCTCTGAACATGAGTGGGTGTATTGGACTTCCTGGGCTTTTGGAGCCTCAACTCAAGAAACAAGTTCCCATCATCGCTTGAAGTTTCCACACCAGGGGTTGCTGTAGGAAGGGCAAATATGTATTTTTCTAAAAAGAGATGGAAGGAAAGGAGGACGTGAACTTTATCAGCTTGAGAAGACGTCATGTCAGTTGTTAAAAAGAAGACACTCAAGACTTTTATGCAACTTATAAATGATTGCATTTGTTCGTTGACAGTAGAATTAAGTCAACGTCAGTCCTTCCTAACATTACAAACAGCTTTGATAAATACTGGACCCCTTTATTAGTTTTCAAATCATTTCAGATTTTTATTAAAATTACATCATTTTGACATAATTGATAGGACACTCCTGATTTTATTAATTATGGTACATTTCCCTTAACTACTGCGCCAAATGTTGGAAGTGCCAAGAAACCATTAACGCCATTCAAGAGTTTGAACATCCTGTCAGAAAAGGTCTACCTGAACAGGAACAAGTGGTTTAACTTTTAATTAAAATTAATTATATACAACTCATTATACAACACAACACTATGGTTATAAAACAGTCCCAGCTGCTCGCTGTAGCTTTAGAAGTTAATGCAGCTCATCTCCCTCTGCTGGCAGTGTTAATGGAACTGATGAAGAACAGATATTTGTTCCTTGTTAACAGGAAGTATCATTACAAAAATCTACATATTAATAAAACATGATGATAATTGCAAAAGAAAAAGAATGATACAGCATTAGCGGTCCAATAAGAGCCATAGCAGGAGATGTTAGTTAGCCTACCTTATAACCAAATCCTCATGAATAAGCTGATTGATAACTTAGACTGGTAATGAAGATGAGAAGCAGCCAAACTGAATTCAATAATTTCAAAATGAAGTATAAGGGCTATATTTCAGTTTGATTTGGAAATGTTTTGTGTGTGCTTTTCTAGAGACAACCCTTGGCATAAAAATAAAACAAACGAAGCTGGTACTTTACCTGCTGAAAAAGCCTTCTCAAAATAAAGTATAATGTCTTACATCGAGGGAATCTTAAAGATAACAGTGATCTGTGGCTCGGACTTGAATCCATCGCAGAACACCAGAAAAAAACATCATACAAATAGAAGCAGATCAAAAGTATAGTGGGGCAGACCAGTATGTGCATTTGTGTTTCTTAAAGGTCACATAGTATCCTCCTCTTCAACCAGTTTAATTAAGTCTCAGAGCACCCACAGCTGTGTGAAGTTTCTTGTTCTAAATCCACTCTGATCCTGTATTTGGTGATGGTCATACCCCTCAATAGCCGTTTTCATATATGCTCTCTGGATAATATCTAGATAATTTCAGGAGGACTGCTCCGGAAATTCTCCTGACCTAGCTGTTCACATATGCTCCTCACAGCGGGGGACTTTCCCTGTCAGAGGGGAGGGGCCGCAGGGGATTTCCTGACTTAAGACATGACGTAAATAAACAACGCGGAAGTAGCGGGCGGAGCAACAGAGTCCACTACACGACGCTATAATGAGAATATTTGTCTTGTCTTTGTAGTCCAATGAAATGACAACATCCACAAAAGAGTGGAGAACAACTTACTGATGAACAGAAAACATAATGAAGCCGTTTAATTACGTTCATGGAGATCATAGTGAGGTGAGTCCTCCGGAGTATATGCTGCCGCGTTCAGACATCAACTCACTTGGACTTTCTGTGGAAAAAATACTAGATGTCTGGCCGGAGAAACTCCGGGTAAAGTCTGCGCGAAAAATTCAGCTGTTTGCGGTCACATATAACCTAAAGCCCATCCAGGTAGCCTAATCTCCAGAGTTTTTCAGGAGAGTATGTGTGAAAAGGCTTTATTTCAGCCCTGCGTAGAACAGGCTGTTTCTGTGTCTGAACATTTAAATATGTAAATGAGCTGTGTCTGACCACGTCCCCTCTCTGGAAGGGCTCGGATGGCTCGGGCTTTCTCGCTCCATGTCCTATTGTTCACGGTGAGAAGGCAGACTCAGAGGGCAGAACAAACACCTAGCTGTGGGAGTGTCACCCACCTGTTTGAGCACACATTTTCCGGAAAGGTGGAGCAGGTAAAAGATGAGGAGGATGGATTTTTCTCATAATTGGGGGGTTTGTAGACAGACTAGGGGACATGGTAGTGTTAGAAAAACATAGTGAAGTGTATTGTGTATAATATGTGACCTTTACGTTAAACAGCACAGAGGAGTTTAATAGTACTTCGAGGTTGCTCTAATCAAGCACAGTCAAAAAAGAAAATTGATGATTGAAGATGGTTTACACTGACTGTACAAGTACAGAAAAAGAGCTCAAGGGCTTTTTCTTCAGATGACTTCCTTTTGGAAAATATATGGCATCCTAATATCAACACTTTGGCAGATTCCAGTCTGATGAATAAAAATGTGATACAGCTTGAAACGGCTCCTTTTTGATTTGGCTCCTTCTCATTGGTAACCCAGCCCATGTCTCTTGAAGTGGCAGAACAGGGGGATGGAGATGGACAGACAAATAAACTGAAAAAAAAGAAAATAAATGATATTTACTATAGCCTTACTATATGATCAGACATTAAGGAAACATCCTATGTTAAAGTGCTGGCTTCTCTGACAACAATGCAGCAGCCAGTATGTGCTCCTTCTAACTTTAGATTCTGCTCCCTGAATGCTCTGGATTTGTTTGGATCAGAGAAGGTAGGCAGTTTTAAGGCACCACCACATGGTCGTTTTGGATGCCCCTCAGTTTGCCAGGCAAACAACAAACCAAAAGGTGTTGCAGCGATGGAAGCGGGCAAGAGAAGTGGTTCAGATAGAAGTAATTGTACCCAACCTAAAAAGCCTCTGCATGTTTCTAATAAGCTCCACGAGCAGAAACGTGCTCAAACTAGGATCAATATTGGAGATGCTTTCGAAAAATGGAGAGAGGTTAGAACACAGAAAGGTTTACAGACCGATGCAGAGCTGGATAAACACTGAAGCTACAGTGTCTGCAACATGGCAACCTGCGTGAACGTCGACTCTACAGAGGAGGGGGCGGGGGGAGACAGCTCTCTCAAATGTTTAAAATTTGGACTGCATTTTAAGCGCTTGTCAGTTACATATTGCTCCTTTAACTAATTGAAAACAATTATTTTATTTAAGACACAAAATATAAAAACAGTACATGAATGTTTGAGATTGAATTATCCTCGAAGTCTAAAAGTAATTTAAAACAGACCTGAATGCACCGTACCTGTATGATAAACATTGTGACAACACCTGCGCCTGTGCTGAGGTAGTTACTGGCAAACCAGTTCTTCAGTTTATCGACACACCCCTGCAAGACAAAATGAGGTCACCTGAAAAACCTGTCAACAGTAACGCTGCATTTAAGAGTCATTCTTTTTTAGCAGGTATAAAGTTTCTGACACATTTTCTGAGTGTCTTTCACAATAAGGTTCTTTGTTTCAGGGCACAGAAAGCTGGAACTGCTCAACTTGAGATAGTTTTAGTACCACAGTGGCAACAATGACATCTGAATCTATGGGACACACTTTGATGAAAAGATCTGTTCAGACTTTTACATTATTTAAATAAATTAAACTAAACTGGGCTTGTCTGAGCTGTCGTCAAATTAAGCCACATCTCATAATTTCTGCTGTTATTGCAGTTGTTTCAGCTTTGTGCAGTATGTCTTTCTATTTGCAGCCTGTTTCCAAAGGTGCATTTGGACTTTTGTATGTGTTTTTAGTGTTTACATCTTTTCTGAAACTGCTGCACATTTGTCCAGATGTAAATCATCTGATCCTTTGTGCCAAAGAGAGCAGTAAAGGCCTGAATGATTGAATCCTAAAGGGCAGGGATCTTTGGCTGGGTCTGGCTCCACCCCCAGAGGAGGGCCCAGACCCCAGGTTGGGAACCAAAGCCTTACCCGCAAGTCACACATACTCCGTGCGCGCCGCGGTCCGCCAGCACCACGGTTTTGCTCCGTCGGACGGCTCGCGCCCATTCACACTGGATCCGTTTCTGCGACATCAGCGCAGCAAAGCGCACCCACGACACATCACAGGAGAACTACAAGATCCCGCGGGAATAAAGAGAAAAACATGCAAACAACATGTTGCTTTGTCTTTCTGAAGATGCATTGTTGTTCATTTGGTAGCTGTTTTGACATAATGTTGATAATGTGATGAAAAATACAATCGCGAGTCCGTATATTGTGTTTTATTTTGAAATTGACCGGATGCTCTGTGCGTTTCCTTGTCTGACTTCCTGTCCGGGCTGTGATATTCTGTCCAGCTTGACGCAAACTTGCAGCGTACTCCGGCGAAAATAGACTCGCTGCGTATTTGAAACAGAGCAGAGCGCAGTGCCGTAGGTGGCACGCGCCGGAGACGGACCGCAGCGCACCCTGTGTGAACACAATGATTGACTAGAGTGGAGGCTAAGTACAATGTAGTGCGCAGCGCTGATGGACCGCGGTGCGCATAGAGTTTGTGTGAATTGGGCTTTATGAAACAGGTTTGCACAGTCGAGTGATGGGACAGTATTAATAACCTCTTGCCAGTTGGTGTTGAAGGGGATGTTACAGGGGTCCTTGGTACAACAGGAGATTGGGATGTTTCCCTTCCAGTCTGCCTGCCCATGAACTCCACAGCACCTGAACTGTACAAAACGAACGACTTCAGTGGAATGATAAACGATTTCAGAGGGAAGCAACGTATCTTCAAAGTGTCTGTGAAACATACCAGGTGCTGGACAGCATCAAAGTCATCTTTTATGGTCTTGTTGCCTTCTGGACTGGACTGCCTGTAGATCTCCAAACTTCGCATCAGGTCTTTCTCAAAGAACGAGTCAATCTGTCCAACAGACAAGCAAGATATATCATCAATCCTTCATATATACAGTTACAAACAACCTTTGAGAAATGTGGTAATTATCAGACTGAATATTCATAAATGTGGTGAAGTAGGTAAGATATAGAAGCTCTGTGTGTGGGCATGGTGGGCGGTGAGAGCTATAATTGAGGGGAGTGGCTCTGGGATGCCGGAGTTACGGCCCTGACACACCAAGCAGACGGAAAGAACTAGTTGCGAAGGAGGCTCACTGTGGCGTCGCTTCACAACACTTTTGTCTTGGCCAAAAAGTTGCACTTGAACACACCTCAAAGACTACAGTCGACGGCCAACCACCACGTACGTTCTGCGCATGTGTGAGAGGAAATAACTCTCCATGCCATCAGGCGGCGGTAGACCATTTTCACACCGCTGACAGTCACCGCTCGTATTAGAGGTAGTCTACTAATGGAGAATAATGTCTGATAAAAAGTTGAAAGTAGCGCTGGCGTTGTCAGCCCTTGGTCTTTTAGTGGAAAAAGAAAAGAAGAGACGGAGGAGACAAATAAGGAGAAACCGCACTAATGGGTGAAAGCATGGAGACTACAGCGGCAGGCTCAAGTTAAATGAAATCTCTGGCCAGCCAATCAGAATGATTCCTCTCACCAAGCGCGCCGACGCCTACCAACGCCTACCGACGCCGATTTAACCTGTCAAATCGGCCGAAAAAAAGGCAAATGGGGGCTGACGGTTAGGGACGGGGATCGACACACCGCAAACACTAGGGCGATGATCTTCTTAGTATCTCAAGGCCTTTAACTGTCCGGCCTTCCCGAGGTGTTCTGGGACTAATTGGGCGATTCACCGTTGAAGGGAGGTTCCCCCTGGACAACCCTAGTTATGTACTGGCTCTTGCTGCCCATCTGTCTACACGGTTAAGTTGTGGCGGCCTGTAGGGGTAGGTAGTATCAGAGTTGTCACTACCTGGAGTTTGCATGTACAGATCCTGGGGTCTGTTAAAGGTGGCAATGCTGTTTTGGTCGCAGTGGCAACTAATGGCCCTAGGGTAGGTTATGTAACTTCTCAGTAGGATAAAGGGGCTTGACTGGAGCAAGGGGTGTCTTCACTGAGCACTTATCTTTTTCATTAGGGCACAAGTATCTTGTGTTTCTTTTCAAACTCATTCTCTTACCTCTCTGCTGTAGATCAGGAACACGAGTGCCATGGCTAGCTCCACCAGCATCAGGATGACCAACAGAATGAAGAACTGAATGAAATACAAGCACAGGTGAGTTAGTATGATCTACACCTTAGCTTGATATTTGAACTTGAAGCAGACAAACCACTTAACAAGGAGTTCATGATTGCAGCAGCTAACAGCTCCATGAATGCACATCATTCATTCAACCGACTGCCTTGTGCAGTTTGCTCTAGTTTAGTGTCTGATTGTGGAGCGTATGTATCTACTCTCTGTCATACTGACCTCGCTCAATCTTGTCCACATCACGAGTGAGCTGGAAAGGGAGGGGATACTTTATCCAGTATATTGTGAAGTCCTCAACAGATGTGACGCAGGTTTCATTGTGTATAACAAAGCTTCCTTCCAGGAGCGAGTGAGCGTGAGCAGGTCATTTAGGCAAAATAAAAAACACGTATCCCCATCCTGCATAGCGCCCCCTACGCTCCATAAATGTAAACATGTGCCTGTTTGTGTAGGGGTTAAGCCTCAGAAAGCCCTGAAGAGATTCGACCCATGAATAATATAATAACCGTTTCTTTGAAATATTTTTAAGCTTTTTTAAATGCAATTGTTGTCAAAGTTTGTGCGTGACATCGCTAATAAATTATGTGGTGCAGTTCTCACCAGCTGCCCCGGAGACGGTCATTTTTTACCTCTAACTGCACATCTATTAGCACTGTTGTTGTAGAATTAGATGTTTGTTTGCAGTAAAGCCCATTTTCGTTTAATTGGGCCAATTTTGCCACAAACGAATGCATAATGGTTGTTTAAATACGCACAATCAGCACATGCGCACGGAGATGCACATGCACTTTGTGAATTAGTCCATAAGTCCATGAGACCATTCCTAGACGACAACGGAAAGGAACAAACTCCGGCTGGGAATAGACTCCATTAAATCTATTGCATGCAAGTATGTTGACATAGATCCTTCAAAAGTGATTGTGGCTTATTAGTTGGACCGTCGGTGAGCGATCATCGGCGTAGTTTTTGCGGTATGTCCAGCTCTGTTGCTACCCGTTGGCCCCTGCCTGCCTTTTTCAGCCGATTTGACGGGGACGAAGAGAAGAATGCGGATAAATAAACCGTTGTTATGATACGAGAAGACCATTTTCTCACCGCTGTCACTCACCACTCGTGATATAGGAACTTCTAATTGAGAATAATGTCTGATGAAAAGACACTGAAAATGGCGCTGGTGTTGTCAGCTCTTGGTCTTTTAGTGGAACAAGCATAGAAGAGGCGGAGGCGACAAATAAGGAGAAACCGCACTCAATTGTGTGTTATTCCTCTCACCAACCGCGCTGACGCCGATTCGAGATGTTGAATCCGACGGGGCGAATGGTAGCGACGGAGTCGGACACAAAAACTAGGGCGACGACCGCTCACTGACGGTCCTTGGCCGACAATTTCCTTGGTGTGTCAGGGCCTTAACATGTTGAATCGACGTTGGTTTCAAGTAATCACTTTGATTGGCTGTTCTGCTGAGCGAATTAGTGCACGAGAGGAAAAACTGAAGTGATAAAAGCAACTTCAACTTTTCATCAGACATTATTCTTGATTGGAAGTTCCTATATTAATGAACGTGAACGACAGCGGTGTGAAAATGGTCTTCTCGTATCATAACAAGGGCAACTTTTTGGCCAAGACAAAAGGCGTTATGGCGCGACCTGAGCCGACACCACAGTGGTGTGTCAGGGCCTTTAACCTGTAAATCACCTTACAACAAACATCATGCCTCGTACTCACAGTGATGAGCATGCAGCGGCTCTCCCTCATGCCTCCCAACACTCCCATGTAGCACACACACATGACGATGGTGCCGGTGACCACCAGAGTGTTGGCGGGGTAGATGGGCCAGAAGGTTGTGACGAGGGAGGCGTACTTGGAGTGTATCATCTGGAACTCCCCAAAACCCACCACAAAACCACCGCACAGCTTCAATGGAGACAGGAGACAAAAGACAAAAGACACCTGATGTTATTCTGTCTTTGTGGTTACATATGTGTTCAGCATGAAATAAGACTTTTAGACAACAATAAATCTCACACCTTGGGTTAGATGGTTTTTATTTTAACACAGCGTACCTTTTTTCCCCCTCACAAAAAGTATTTTTTGTCATTTCTAATGTATGAACATTCAGGTTATCTGACCCTCGGCACATTCATTGCCTCCTCTTGTACATGTTATTACTTGATACTTGACTTGCTGATTCCAGTACCAATGTTTGTTTCATTTCTTCTTTTGGTGTGACTCCCACAAGGTCGACATTTTCTCTCGTGTTTGACAATAATAACAGACCAGAGTTCAACAGGTCACATCTTCTTCCCAATAAAAAACCTTTTCTCTGAATCAGCAGTTAGGTGTACTAGATTCCAGCATTAAGTTGATTTGAACAACAAATAAACATCGGCTACTGACATTGATTTGTGCTACATTATTTGTATATGTACCGACGTCTGTCAGCAGGGCAATTATTGGCCAATATGGATGTTAAACCGATGCATCTGTGTATCCCTAATATAAATATAAGTATATAAATATGAAATTGTCATATTCCTGCATTTGTCTGACAGATTTAATGGCTCTTTACTTTTTGAGATAGCAACTTTGCCTACTCTTTTTGTCCACTAACAACCTCAAATGTTTTGATGGTGAATGCATTTTATTTATAGAAACGTATGGATTAAATATAAGGAGTAGTAAATAAGGAAAAGTGTTTAGAACATTCAGCTACCACTCAAATCAAATTAACTAGTTAAATCCCCCTCTATGTAAACTACAGAAGGTTAACACGATGTATCCACATAAGGAGGTCTACGAGGACGACAATGTTCCATTTGTCCTATATGGACTTGAGCTTGTATAATGCTTTTTTAGTCTTCTGACTGCTCAAAGCACTTTTTCACCACAGGTCACACCCACACATTCACACACTGACGGTAGAGGCTGCTATGAAAAGTGACCATCAGAAGTAATTAATCCATTTATAAAAATTCACACCAATCAGCGGGAGCCACTTGGGACAGGCGGCTGCAGAAGCCGGGGATCAAACCCCTGACCATCTGGTTAAAAAACGACAGACTCTACCACTGAGCCACAGCTTGTAACAGGTAACACGCATTCTTAAGACAGCTAAGTGTTTGGTTGAACGGTGTGAGCCAGCTGCAGTGAAAGACGGTCTTTACTTACCCAGCACAGAAAGTTGAGACTGACCACCATTGTTTTCAAGCAGCTGACACACGAGCGATTCATCCTTCCTAATAATCCTCTTCTGTTTTACCTGGAATAAAAAGACAGCCTGGTAAATACAAACACTCGCTATTATTATAGGAAGAATACAGATTTTAAAACAAACTGCAGAGCTCCTTCTGTATATTGTGAGTGAAAATAAGTGAAGCTGCAGCTCCTCTCTGAGCGATCAGATGTTTACAGGACACCAGTGTTTGATATGGCAACACTGAGCTGTGAGGCACAATGGACACCTGTGACCTGTGACCGTCAGTTAATGATTATTACCTTCCCTAATCTCAAGATGAACCATTCATGGCACGTTTGTATCGCAATCCTCAGGGCATTATGTTTTGGTGAAGCAGCGAAGAATTCATAAAGTATTTAAAGGGGATATATTATGAAAAATCCACTTGTAGTGTTTTGAACATATATTTGGGTAACCTGAGTGTCTACTGACGCACAAAATGTGAAATAAACCCATCCAGTCTTTTGTTTGTGGTCTGCATAAGTCTTACAACACAGAGAAAAATGCTCTGTTTCAAATGTGCTCTCCTTGTGATGTCACAGTGGGATTCCGGTAAAAAAAAAATCCCCTCCCCTGATATCACCCCATCACACCACCAATGGACTCCACCCCCAGCCTAGAACAAACCTCATGTGCAGGTCCGCCATTTTTATTGTCTATACAGAAGAATGTCTACTGGGAAAACTCAGGGGGGCTCATTGCATTTAAAGAGACACACACACCAAAACGGAGCGTTCTGAGAGAGCTGGTTTATACAGGGTCACAAACCTCCTCTGGTGCTTAATTCATGTTATATTTTGACCAAAGCACAGCACAGATGTTTCATTTACACCACAGGAGACTGTTTGAAAAGGTGAAGGGGGATAATATGTCCTCTTTAAATAACTATTTATCTCTGAATGTGTTGATCACTGATCAGCATTGATTGTTAAACCAGAAATGTGTAATTTTTAACCTTTTCTTAAGATTGCTTTTTGGGCCTTTTATGCCTTTATTTCAGAGATAGCATAGTGGGTAGATTTAAAAACGGGGGAGCGAGAGAGTCGGGAGTGACATGCGGGAAAGAAGGTGGGATTCAAACAGATGGGATTCAAACCCGGGCTGCCCGCTCTCGATGACTATAGCCTCTGTACACGGGGCGCACTCTAACCGTTAACCTACAGGTAAAAAAATATAATAATATGTAATAAAAATACGCTGTTTTTAAGCTTTTTTTCTTAAACTGAGTATGCTCTGAATGTGTCAACTCAAATTCTAACTATTGGGATCATCTCATGAATATAAATAAAATGTATCTCTTACCTTTTAAAAGAGCATGTCTAACTTCCCTGTGAGCAGCATTTCAGTGTTGTTCCCAGCATCGCTGTGTTAACTGACAACAGACAGGAATTTGTAAGGAAGCAAAACAGCCAGGAGCAGAAAAGAAAAAAATGTCAGGCCTCTGTTTATCAGCTGGCACTGACTGATGTTGAACACTGAAGAGGAGCCGTGTCCACACCACAGCATGTACAGTACAGAGGAGCCGAGAGAGAGAGAGAGAGAGTCTGGTTTGTGTACATGGGAGAGCAGCTTTGATAAAAACTGAGTGTCTGCAAACAAACACTGTTTGAATTCATCACTGATTTATCGGCCTTCTTTACTTCCTGAGGTCCAGCGTTTAGAGATGCTGTAACACTGGAACTGTTGGTACGTAAACAGAGCAGTTTTTTGGGAGATATAAACACAATAGGCTAGTGTTGTAGTACTCCAGAAGTATTTATACTCAGTCTGGTTTCGGTCTGCAACTGGGCGGACTCCGTATTTTAAGACCAGTCAAGACCACCACTGACAGGCTTCCTTCTCACGTCATTACTATGATTAGAAGGAAGACACTTCTTTCTAAAAGATCACAGAACTTCAATTCATTCATAATTTGAATTTTATCCCCTGGTTACGGCCGAAACCTACATAATGTTAAGGTTTTATAAGTGACAAGCCTGCTGCACTAGATGCAGTTGGATGAAGTTGGTCTTGTCTCAGTCTCGGAGCACTCTGGTCTCGGGTAGGTCTTGGTCTCAGTTAGTGTGGTCTTGACTACAAACACTACTAAACACGTATATACACAAAAGATGCCGAAACAAAATGAATCTTGCTTGTCTATTTATAAACTAGGATCAATATTGAAGATGCTTTTGAAAAATGGAGAGGCTAGAACACAGAAAGGTTTACAGACCCATGCAGAGCTGGATAAACACTGAAGCTTCAGTGTCTATGAAATGGCAACTTGCGTGAGTATCGACTCTAGAGAGGAGGGGGGGCAGACAGCTCTCTACAATGTTTTATATTTGGACTGCGGTACCCATTTTAAACACCAGGTGCCAGAGTTACTTATTGCTCCTTTAACCTTTAGTCATAAATTGTATTACTGAAGGCTTTGCCGCCCCAGTTGCACAAAGAATGCATTGTTAAAAGACAACTTCCCTCCCCATTTAGTTTGAATTACTCTGTTTCTCTACAAAAAAGAAATTAACCTCTGAAGTGATCAACTCTCTAGACTTGAGCAAAGATCTATTCAGCGCCAAAGAAGAGTACAGTAAATGTCATTTTAATGTCATTAAGTAACTCAAATGTTGGTTTTAGTGGCAAGTATGAGCAAAGTGTCTCTACACATGAAACAGAGGATATCATGGAGCAGAGAAATCAGTTGCCTTAAAAATACACTAAGCACAAGGGATGTAAAGACAATTAAAAATGGATACAAATATGGACAATTCAAATTGATTTGACAAACATATATTTGATGCAATACATAACAAATTGGAAGACACATCAAACAGGCACACACTGTCTGCCAGTTTGTGCAGGCATCATGTAAAAGACCCGGGGGTCAGGGAATCGGCTCGTGGCTCTGCTCTCACTGGATGAAAATGTGTGCAGTCGTATGACAAAAAAATATCAAACATGTGGCTGTGATTGGCCGTACATTTCATGATGTGGGATTTGGCTGAACTTCGGCGCGGTTCAAAATGAGTAGTTTGACTCAAAGTGAGGTGAATCAGTCAATAGAGCGAAGAAGAAAACAAGACATAGTATCCAGCAGCTGCATCAAAGCCCACATTTTCTGTCATCCATTGGACACCAGTAAGGTGTATAGGCACCAGCTCAGGGGCGTGTCCAGAGGGGTGGTATGGGCCCCCCCATTGAAATCTTTTTGGCCACCCCAAAATCCTTAACCATGATTGGCTATTTGCCTTAATCAGAGGTGGGACTGGTTAACATCCACCATTCAGGCTGTGCTGGTTCATAGTTTTCAGTGTTCAAATGTTTGTTTGCAAATTTTTAAAATACTTTAAATTGAGACTTTTGGGCGTTTTGAGTCCTTGAAGAATGAAGCTAAGAAGATGTTTATGTTGTTATTATCCTGTGTTACTTAAAGTTGATTAGTGCAAACAGAAGGGGTAAATAAATGCTCTTCATTCATGTTTGTGCACACAAACTTCAGGCCACCCCTGCCCAAGTCATCACCTCCAGTTGGGCCCCCCCCAACGTCCAAAAAGTCCAGACATGCCCCTGCACCAGCTCATGGGATTGCAGAAATTATAAAAGAGGTGAAACAAATCAGCAGTAAACATCATTCAGATTCACATCACTTCCATTTTAACACAAAATCACATAACTACGTGATCCTGCATACGTCTACCTACTTCACAGTTCATACTCGAGCAAAACGTCTAAAACAACATGATCACAAAATATTTGAATTAACGGGGGTCTGTTGGATTGAGCGCCACTAAAAACCTTCTTATTTTTAAAAAAGTTTAACAGATGCTACATTATATTTGGTGCTCCATGGTGACAAACAGGAAGAAGAAAATACATACAGTAAATCCACTTATAACAGGAAAATATTAACCATTTCAGAAAGTAAAGAGAGCCAAAATTAACTCATGATGACACGTTGAAAATAAAAAGTGCTCGTCTTTATTGGTCCAAATGTGCACTTTAAAACAGCCCGGCTAACTGCATGGAAATTCTGGTAATCTTTTTTAAATCTCGGCCCAATTTTTTATTATTATTTCTACCAAGGGTTTTTGAAATAATCACTTGAAGTGGAAAGTCTTTGATCTGTTTGATTTTTCCCTGAAAGATCATGTTGAAACTATTACAGCCCGTCTTAACCCGACCGCCACCCGGAGCAATCTACTGGAGCAGCACGTCAATTAGTGATTACTGAGCCCACATTATGTGAAAACAGGGCCCAGCGTTAGACGTACAGCACAGAGAGCCAGTTATCACCAATCATACATTGACAGACAAAAAAATCCAGTTGAGCGGACAGAAGTGCTTTGACTCACTGGGGCTCTCGATTTTCAAAAGAGCATTTTACAATTTGAATTTATCAGTGCAACAAAAAGAGAGCGATCCACAGGTTGACTGGTCTTCAAAGCAGCTTCTGATCGGGTTATAGCTGCCTGATGGCGGCACCAAGTGGCAGTAAGAGGTATCTGCATGTCAGTAAAGGTCATGGTAACATGATGTCAGTAATGTACATACAGCATCTGTGATTCATTCTGAAGTTTTTGTTTTTTTGAGTGTGTCCCTTCATAACGGACATCAGGAACTCCTATGGAGGATCGCTTTAAATCTACAGTGTCTCAGTTAGTGCAGGTTTTACCGACCCCGATGTGCCTTAGGTTGAGATGAACGTCTGTAAACAGCAGAAGGAGCAGCTTTTATCACCACAACACATAAAAAATAAAGAAGAATATTTCACAGCTGGTTGGCCTGTTGGTGATCTCTCCACTGTTGGTCTTGGTGGCGTTTGTTCTCTTGGCTCTCGAAACGTTTTTTTCATTGATCATTCGATTGTTTGGTTCAGGAAAGCTATGGTAGTCTTTGCGTTGTCTTTGTGTTGATTAAGGAACACACACATGATTAACCGTTCTCTGATCAATAGAATCGCTTGCGTCTGTTCTCCTTCCAGCGCCCGTAAACCATCAGCCCTACCACCGCCAGCACACCCAGGCCCATGATGGAGAAGAGGAGCGTGAAGAAGAACTGCAGCCCGCTCATCCCTTCCTCCTGGACATCCACTATGAAGCAAAAGGATGAGAGATTCAATGTGATGTTAACCCTTCAAAGGCCCCAGCGGTGCTCAGTTACTTCTATGATCCGCTTCGTTCAGGATTGAAACAGATTCTATTGAGCTTGACTGCTGAGAATATAAACTGTGATGTGTCAGAGAGTACATCACTGAACAAAGGGCATGGAGAGGACATTACATTTAGAAAGTGGAGCCACATCGATTGATCGGCCAGCTGATAATATCACCTGACATTAGCATATCAAGTGACTTTCTGTATCGGCTAACTTTTTCACAGATATGGACCGATACCACTGGTCTTATTCACCAGTCAAAAAGCATTTTATTTGAGTTTCATTGTATTACACTAGCAGTTCTCTGTCACCAGCAGAGGGCACTATATGGATTACAACAAGAAGCACCATCACTCTCAAGAGTGTCAAGCGGTGATGCACGTACATGCGCAGTTACTTTTCCAGTCGAGTGACCATCTTGTCTACTACGTTAGACGTTGATAACTGCATTTAAGACATAAACACAATAAATGTCTAAACTTATCTCTACAGATTGAACATAGAACTATGAAAGACGTCAGCCGATATATCGTTATCAGTATCGCCCCCAAAAAGTCCAATATCTGTTGGGCTGTAGTCACTGCTGGTTATTGTCAAATAGAGCTCTCTACATATTCAAACATTTCATTTGTCATTCTTATATTACTTTTGATTTGAAAGAGTTTAATCTACCGTGAAACTGTTCCATGTTGTCAACACTGGGGATTGTGACCTCCTCCTCTTCTTCCTCCTCTGGAGCACGCTTGACTGTCAGCTGATACAACTTCATGGATATGATGTCATGGTTATCTAGAACAACATGGACGGAGCAGGAATTAAGTCTGGAGAGAATCTACACTAAAACTCTTCTTCGTTTCGACTTTGTCACTTTGTCCCGTAACCCGTCACTTGAACTTTAACCTCCCTCTCACTGCACAGCTTGTTTATAGTCTTTAATACATTGTATATTCATTTCTATCTATTCTTATTTGTATTGCACTCATATGCATGTTCTTCTTCTGGTCTTTTTACTGCTGCAACACTTGAATTTCCCCACTGGGACTCAATAAAGGATTATCTTGTCTTATTTGAGGATCTGTGCAGGTTGGAAGGAAAGCTTATTTGGGATTTTAATCCGCTAACATCCTGGAATCACTCGAACTGCTTTGTTACCCAGCTTCCCTGAATATAAGTTTAAGTCGCACCGCTATAGAGGATGCAGTCGGTTTCTAGAGGTCTATGAGACACAGAAAAACGGTTTCAACTGTCTGTCTGACGATTTGTATTGCAATCAGATAGG